CATTCTTTCAACAAATAGTAACTTTGCTTCTTTGAGGACACGCTTGCACTCATCACGGGCAGAAACAAAGAGACGTCTATTGCAATCAGAGATGTCACTTCGGTATAGACGGAAGAACAGATTCCTATGGGCAATAGCAGCTGAGCAAGCAGCAGAGAACCAGGAAGAGGATCACGATTTAACTTTATATTTGCTTGCAGGGATGAAAGCCTCGATGCCATTTTTTACCCAGGAAGAGACCTCAGACGCACATTTTTGAACGTGGTGCTTAAAAACCACATTCCAGGGGACATCGCGAAGGAAATCACGGAACGGGTCCTAATCTGCTCGTTGATAAAAGAAAGATATTCTGTTGGTAAGAAGTTCTTTGCTGGGGGAGGATTAGAAGGAGATATTAACAGACACAACCGCGTGATCAGAGTTGCCAAGTGGGCAGAGCTGCATAGCACGGAAAATGTCGGGAATGGCGGTAAAACATAGAGCGGGAAGGAAAGTATTACCGCCATGGTTACTGGAGAAACGTATAGGAAAGTCAACCATTTATGTGAGGGATTGAGTGATTGAAAAGTTATGGGTATGCATGATAGCGAGGTCAGTTACAGAGTGTTTAATCCAGATATTATGGTGGCTGTTAAATTTACCGAACATGAATATGTGTGCAGACGAATGTAGAGAGATAGCTTTATCTATATTGTCGGAAATACTACTGAGAACTCCAGATAAGGACTGAGAAAGGTAAAGAAGATATAACTTACGGAATTGATGAGAAATGAGTATCAGGACTTGTACATTGTTTTTGTAAGTTTTAATAAAAGTTACATGGAAATATAATTGTTGTGTCGGAAACCTACCACCCCTCTTGAAGATGAACTTGTCTGCGTCTGTGAACAAAGACTTTAAATAGTGGCATGTCAGTTGACATGGAAGATTGATAGACAGAGAAGTTCTTAGCTGAACGAGTTATTGACTACTCAGGCGATTTCTGTACCTTTTTACCAACCTATTAAAACCCTTTTTTTTGTTACGTGTTATTTGGCGTTTGTCTCTATTAACCCCAAATCAATATCATAACAATAATGTACTTTGAAATTACGATCTAATGATCACTAAAGGGAGATTTTTTAAAACTCAGAATATCCTTTATTTGATGTAAAATTGAATATATTCAAAGAATTAAATTTTGTGCTACTGCTCAGTTTCTTATACATTTAAAATAAATTCTGAAATTTAAATCATAAAATAATATTGATATATTCTCAGTTGTATGTGCGTGTGTGCGTGTGTGTGTGTACTGAGTAATAACATGTCCGTTGGGAAGTAGTCAACTATGAAATGTGGGGGGGCGTGCTTTTGCCGCCGCATTCTTTACTGTAAACATGGCATTAAAGACAGATGCGAAATAACAAGGCAGGTGTTCAGCAAGAAATCAATTTTCAATGCTGTTTTCTTTCTTTTTGTCCTGGCCAGCCTATATTGTTTGTTTTTCTGCTCCAACTGTTTAACTGGTTTACAAATAATTTAACTTTGTATTCATTCTGTCAGTACTAGTTTTTTGTTTTTGTTTTTTTTTGGCGGGGGGGTCTTGTAAATGTAGATTCTTTTTTTTTTCCTAATTTATTTCCCTTTAAATCATTCATAACTACCAACAATACCGGATAAACTTTCTAGATCTCCATTTTAATTTTTGGTTTTTCTTATAATATTTACTCATTCATTTCGTAATCAGACAATTCTAGCCTTCCTCTTGGATTTTGCATCATGAATTAAAGTATTGAAAAAAAATGTTGCTTCAATTGACTGTTCTTTTAATTATCATCTTTCTTGTCTTAAATTCAAGTTGGTTTTAAATTAATTTACTTTTTCAGATTAACCATTTCTTCAGAGTTTTCAAGAGATAAAGAATTCCTTTTCAATAACTTAATTTGCTATGCTTCCATCATGTGTTTTAACGATGATTATTTTGTTTTTTTTTTGGTTCTTCTCGTGAACACGTTTTATCGTTTCCATTTTATGCAGAGTCTTGAAAGTCAACAATCAATCAATCAATCAATCAAACAATATATATATATATATATATATATATATATATATATATATATATATATATAAATATAAATATGAAATAGAAGTCAGGCCTGACGATTGCATATAGCATGAAACAGACTGTCGCATCTAAGTGTTGACTTCTATGTTCACTTTTATATTTACACACGCTCTATCTCTCATATCGAGCACTTTATCCCATAAATATAGCACACCTTAATACTATATCTCTATCATATATATATATATATATATATATATATATATATATATATATATATATATATATATATATAAAAATCCATTGTTGATTTTATTCTCTTTATTCTTTCATAGATTACCTCAAACTTCAGTTCTTAGCAATATTCAGATATTATCTGCCAAAAAAAAAAAGCAGAAAACAACTAAAATATCAGATATATAGCCTTGGTCAAAAAGGATAATTATGTTTAACCTAAAAGTTCATTTATTTATGTGAAGAAAACTATGGGTAAAATATATTTGGTTTCTTTTTAAAAACATCTTCATTGAACTATTCTTATGAAACAGATTAACTTCAGTAATCACCACCATTTCATTTAAATGTTAATAAATGTAGCTCACTGAATAAATGTTTTCATGTATCCAATAAAAACCTACAATACTGTAGCATCAGTTACGCCTCATTGCTCCATTTTCCCCACTATATTAAAAACAAGGGACACAGAATTACAGCCGTGTTCATTATCTTCACTTACTCGCATATACTTTTGGGAAATGCATGTTATTCTGACAATCCAAAACATCACGGCTTTAAATAATTACAAAGTGTTGATAAGCCTTAAAAAACAACTAAGCAAACTATGTTTTCTCAAACACTCAAATAGAAGGTTAAATTTAAACTATGTGACAAATATACCCCCATACGACAGAAACAGTATCTTATAAAAACGCATGTCGTAGTAAAGGTGAAATTATCCGTGTCAGAGACTGAAATAAAACGACATTCAAATCCCAAATAGTTATCGTTAATGTCGGGTGGGATTTCTACAATATGAAAGCAGTTTTTCAACTGTCATTCGTTTTAGTGTTACTAGTTTCCTTCTAAACTCTTGGCTTAAGCTGGTGTGAAATTACCATCCTGTTTTCCTTCTTTGTTAGATGTTGTCTATTTTGGATTCTTGTTTCTCTACGAAGTTTTCACAATTTCTAGGTAGCCTCTCATAATTATATCATTTGAATTAAATTAATACCTACAATAAAGATGTAAAATAAGGAAAACATGCTTAGTTCTGATAAAATTATCATGGCTTACAAACTTCAAATCGTGACGTAAAGAAACACTTTAAACATTTATTTCTATGGTTGCGAGAAGTGAGTAATTTATTAGTTTACATTTAAAATCCGATTTTATAGAAATTATATAAAATTAGTAGTAATTGGTTAAAATGGAAGAAATAATGTGAGAAAATCATTGGAAATTATGCTAAGCGGGGCAAAATGGATGAAAACTAAATAAAACACAAAAATATCTATATATATATTTAAAAATGGCCAAGAGACATCAGTACAAGTCAGGATATCACTTTAAAGTGTCCTGAAACAATCGAAATCGCAGAGTTTGTCGATAAAAAGGTTACACATTGGGTAACATATTGCCAACCTCTGCTGATACAACTGACAACTGCTACCTCTTGTTCTGCAAGATTGTACTCTCTTTAAATGCTACACTTTATGCAGGGACGTTTACCGTGTTCTTCCTTCGATTTCCAAAGATGGTCCACCAGATTTGTGTTATATCTGCGTTTTTCAAAGCTAAAAGATGTAGTATAGTTATACCAGCATTTTGTAAACGGGCCTTCGTTACATCCTCTGTAGTAGTTCCTTTGGCCACTGTAGTCATTAAATTCAACCTTGTACACCACACATTCTGTGCAGCACACTCCGTTCAAAGGGCAATTACTTTCAATCCTTTAGTTATACAATATACTAGCAGTAAACCCAGCGTTGCCCGGGAATAAACTTCCTCTGAATGGAAAGTCATAACCGCCTTACTCATTTTGTACACACATGTAAGGTTGAAGTCTAGTAGAACTGATGGCTGCCCACGTAAAAAAACGTAATGTACACAAGTTATCGGTATTCATCAGTACAACGGAAGAAAAAATTGGGAAGTTTTTGGTGAGTTATGGCAGATGGCTTTGTATTTCGATGGGATGGTTTTATTATCGCTAAGTGCAAGACATTACATGAAGCCCTGTGTCAGTTGCAACGCAATAAAACGCAATAGCGTGAAAGGTAGACATGTCTTTTGCTCAAAAGACGGCACTGCCACAACAGCAAACAGAACCACATAACAGAAGTATGGGAAGGTGCCAGTGCGAGTACTTGTAAGTGGCACAATTTTATTTTATTTTTTTTTTTTTTTGTAGTTTTTAATAGCCAGTTGAGGTGAGCATGAAGCGCATGTAGCATTACCTAAAGCAGCCCTTATGGTAAGGGGAGTAACACACCAACGGTGTACGGCAGAGTATGCATATTATAACTCTGCATATTCTTTTATAGTCTCACTTCTTTTTGCTGAGGCCTGAATTGCGTGGACGCACTCGACTTTTCTGACAATTAAACGAATCCACCTTCCCGCGTATTGGTTTTGTGTTGCAACTGAATATGGTTACGTGGTCGACATGTAAGTGTGAATGCAGCTATCGTGGGGTTTAAGTGATAAGGGAGCATCTGGTGAGCAAGACAACTTTTAATGAAAGGCCTTAATAATGGCAAGTGGATACTACGACGACCTTTAAATAAACCGGGTTCGAAAATGAAAAAAACCTACGACACAGCTGACATAAAGATATGTACATTTAAACGTGACCGGCCATAGGCTATAGGACTTCTGCGTAGGTAATATTTTTAGCTTTGTTTGTTGAAGAGTAAACGTAAACATTATCCTTACTCCCGACTCGGAAGCAGCCTACGTATAGCTGTCCATGGACGAAACACTGAGCGTCTGTCCTTGCGATTTGGCCATTGTTGTTGAGCCGTGCTCGCCGTAACCCAGGGATTTCTGAAGCTCTGGCAGACGACAGTAGCGCTGGAATTTCTTAAACGACGAATAGCGATTTCTTGAGGATGTTCCGAAACCCTGGAAGATGCTGTAGTCCTAGCATTCCTAAGACGACTCGAAGATGCTTTTATCAGGGATTTCTAAAGCTCTAGGACATGCTATAGCGCTGGCATTCCTTCAACGCCGAAGGATTGTCTGTGTTGGGGACTCAGAAGCCCTGGCCCTAGAAACGCGTATTACGTCCTGTGAATTCTGTACTAAATGCTCTTCGGTTGAAAGTCTAGAGCGTCGTAATGACATAACTGATGCTACTGATGCCAGTCTTTCAGTCCGTTCAGCGGTACTTTCCGTGGAGATGCGGGCAGCAGAGCGTAAGGCCTTCTGAGAAAGGCTCAACGAAGTTTGCTCTGTGGTTTCACTTGCTCTTGCTACTCTTGTAGCGGAGCCGTGCGCCGTCCAAAAAGTTTTCTTCTCTTAGGCGGCATTTTAACCAATTTTAAAAAAGCAAACGTAATAAAGGGTATGTAGGTTTTTTGAGTTCAAAAAATTCGTGTAGTCTAAACGTAGACAGGTTAGAGGGATCCTAAAAATGTATGTAACTGTATCAAAAGGGGATCTAAGACAAAAAAGTGAAAATTTAAAAATTCAACTAAAGCTAAAATGGTAGTAGGTAATTTGGGAAGTATATTCGATAAATGCGGAAACGGATGTAGTTATAACTAAGAAGTAAAAAAGAAACAGTTTGGATCAATTAATCAACAACTTGCAGTTTCCGTAAGAAGCGAATGAAATGAGCCAAGTGCCGGACAGTAATTGCAGAAGTGTGGACACGCGTGCGAGTTATGGTATAAAGAGTCGGTTGGCCGGTTGACCTTGAGCGCACATACCAAAGTGACGTGAATTTAAGCGCTCAACTAGACTGGCATCTCACTCTCACCCTTTCACTGTTGAAACTTTTAAAGGTAGCTGTTGATACAAAAAATTTAGACTGGTTTAGTCACCATTTATTTATCAAACACAACGGAAAACACCTAGACAATGGTCTTGAGAGGTGTAGATATTGATTCGAATGACACATCTCTTTGTATCTGACCCACCTAGAAATCTGCCTTGTTCAGTAAATCATTTTATTGTTAGCCGTGCATTACCAAGTGACAAGAGAGAGATAGAGAGAGATTTGAATAGATAGATATAGATAGATATATGGTTTCCGACATTTCTCAAATAAACAGCTTTCATGTTATACAACAAAAATATTGACTAAGACGGGACCCCCCTCAAATACGCATAAAATTGTATTTATTCAAATCTATCTATCTATCTATCTATCTATGATTCACACGCAAACATAATTAGCGTAATATACTAAAAATGACGCTTGCTTGACGATGGATGTAGTGACTTTAAAGATTCACAAAAAAAGAGTTGTTTCATCTATGTTGTTAAACTTAGAGAAGGTGCCATACATAGCTCTCATGTTATACAACAAAAATATTGACTCAGGGACCCCGCCCCCAAAATAGGCATAAAAATGTATTTATTAAAATCTCTCTCTCTCTCTCTCTCTCTCTCTCTCTCTCTCCATATATATATATATATATATATATATATATATATATATATATATGATGATGCACGCAAATATAATTAGTGTAATATACTAAAAATGACGCCCATCTTGACTATGGACAGTAACGTTCATGGAAGAATTCCTGCTACTATTATTATCAACAATTGTCTCCACGTTATCTCATCGACGTCAGACAAAAGAATATTTTCTCGCTCACACACACAAGCACATACACACACACATATATATATGTATGTATGATGTGTGTGGGTGTTATTTCACTTTTCTCCACGTTATATACCTATTTAGCATTACTGCTTAGCGAGACTTCTCTTCGCCTGTATTTTCTGTTTTCCCATTTTTTAGAATCTGCTATTGATTGAGTATTGTATTATGTATGTAAATGTTCAACGGTGATATCGTGCACAGGAAAACTTTTAGTTTGGCTCTTTCTCTATGGGCAAAAATGGATGATCAGCATGACATCTATTACAGTATGAAGAATAAACGTATTTCGAAAGTATCTGATCATACAGTAGATAATATTGTATATATTCCTGTACACCAATATCGTACTTATTTTATATCAGTCTGTACATTTCCGTCTTTCAGCAATATAGATATATTACAATACACCTAATGAAGTGAATATAAAATGATTAAGGATCATACATCTATTAAGCTTAGGCTTTTCAGGATCTAATTTTAAAATGCATAACGATTCTTTGTTATAAAATATAACTTTCAACATTTATTGACTCGTCTCATTCCATCATATAATACATATAAAATACAAAAACACCACTGCTCTCTCGAAATATTTCTGGCAATGAAAAAATGCTGGTATTTCCCTTCTCTTAACTGGGATATTATAGCAAAAGCCAAAATCTTATAACGGAAAAGGAAATAAATGTAACTCACGTCTTATTGAAAAACTGTTTATCTTAAAACATTTAAATAACGTGAGCTTATTATTCACGAAAAATGAATTGATGGTTACATGTAGGCCTAAATATATATATATATATATATATATATATATATATATCTGCTTAAATACGTTGATCCAAATTAATTTTATTGTAAATTACTGTTTTTTTTTATTTTGTTTTTTGTTTGTTTTTTTGTTTTATTTTATTTTTTTTTTTTGTTGCTTTTCTAAGGAAATATTAAAAATGAAGATTCACAACTCAAGAATAAATTTATTTTTTCTTTTTGTTACATATTTATACAGTGCTGTTCGATAAAAGTGAGTCACCTGAAATTTTTTATTAAAATATTTTTTGTCTATTGTTTTTTGGGTTAAAATAATTTTTAATCTTATTAATGATTAAACTGGTAAATTTAAAGAGCTTTTGACAAAATATTGAAAACTATTTTACAATACACTCAGAACAATATTCTAGAGAATTCTAGAACAGCTTAAATTAAATTCCAGGAATCCTCATACAGTATAAAAATAGCTTGAAATAGCCACTCAGAACCACTTAAGGCATCTATTATTGCCCTCTAAAAAGCAGGCAAGTCTACGAGAGAAATTGCAGAAATTGCTATAACTTCGCAATCAACTGTCTCTCGAGTGCTTAGGGCACATAACGATGCCACTCTTGCGCCAAGGAAGGAAACAAGGGGACGAAAGAAAAAGATTGATGATAGAACTGGCAGGGTAATCAAGAGAGAAGTTGCGAAGAATAGGACTATAACTAGCCAAGAAATTGCAGCCAGTCTAAGCGAAGAGCAAGGTGTTAGTTTTGCCTCTTCAACTGTCCGGTAGAACAAGGTTACAAATCTTGTACACAAAGGTTTAAGTCGCTAATAAACAAAGCCAACAAAGCCAAGAAACTTGAATGGGCTCACTATTACAAAAATTTTACCGTAGAAGACTAAAAGAATGTTCTCTTCTACGATGAAACGGAAGTTGAGCTAAATTCAAAGGATAAGTTGAGTCACTTTTATCGAACAGCGCTGTACAAATACCGTTTATATTCATTGCGAAATATAATTTTTCAAAATTAAAAATACATAATACCAGTATAATATATAACTGCGTCAGCATTACGATAACCAGACTTATATAGTATTTTTTTTATCAATTGAATTACACATCAGTCAGTCCATACTCAGCACCTGAAGATAGCGTTGTGTATGAAACTCTGTATCATTCTAGCGATGAAGGACAATATGTATATTTATTAACATATACTCAATAGATCAGTTGTATCTCATCGATTACTATTTTATTAACACCCGCAGTATATGTGCGATATATAAAAATATAGTTTTAAGGTTTTTTTTTATACTTATGGGTTAAAGAACTCAATATCAGGGATGGAGCATATGTAAATATGAAAGAGGACATTGAAATTAGCACCCAGCGGAGACAGTCTGTTTAATGCTTAAACACAATCTTTTGGAGATATGTATATACGAGTTAGGAGAACTCATTTGATTCTAAACTAGACATCCCTAGAATCTATTTATTTCTCACTGTTAAAAGTACACCAGTCTATGTTTTAATTGAATTTTACTAATACAAATATGTAAGTAAGTGATCACTATTTTGTTACATACTAACTTTTACGGCGTTTTACATTATTCATACATTTTTTATTATTTCCTCTCCCGAATTTCACCCAATGCCAGGTCCATCCAACTTAGAGATTTTCCAAACTCTTAGTTATTAATTTTATTTAAACGTCACAATTTTTTACAAACAAATTCTTTTAAGCCTTTCACATTTATTTGCTTTTTATTTCCTTCCCGAATTATTTTCATTTACAACCCGGATTTGCATAATTCACCTTTCTATTTATATCCAGATATCAATACTCTCCTGAACTAATAATATTCAATTATTTTACGGCTTATCTTATTTTTCAAATATCACAATCATATGTTAGCCAAGATGGAAAGAAATTCCTTAAGGATTATCTATGTTCTACTCCAGACACGGACACACATAGGTGTTTCGTAGTTCTCTTGGTAAGAAATTTTATCATTTTTTAGCATATATATATATATATATATATATATATATTCATGAATTATTCACACAAAAACAAATGCAAAGGTTAATGATTTAATTGGCGAGAAATCCATCGTCGCAAACAATTCAAATAATATACAAAAAAACCTATCCGAACCTGTTATGAATGAAAAGATCCTTGTTTCTATAAATTTCTGCCGCATTAGTTCTTATTTTTTTACTACAAGCTTTCGTCTGTTCCTAAAGACATCTTCAGGTATGGAATAGATGTTGTTCTTGTTTTTTCTCTCAGTAATAAGAGGACAACGAAAATATATGTATTGTTGTATCCGAAAATGCTATTGGAAATGAGTTATTGTTTTTTGAGCGTGCAGTAGCAATGCTGCGTTTGATTTTAAATTTTTACAGTTGTGCGTTCATGTACAAATATGGTGATAAACGAATTTTTACTTTTAAATTAAATTATAACAAATTGTGTGTGTTTTGATCAAATATATTAAATTGTTTAATTACAACAACGAATGTCTTTTATGTTTTAAATCAATGACCATGCCAGGCGTCGTATTGGTTTAATTTCAATTTGAAAATAAAGAAAAAATAAATATATATATATTATTTATATATATATATGAATACTAGTGTTGTGTCTAAGGTTTATATATATATATATATATATATATATATGCTATTCAAATTGGAAGCTCTATATTCGAGATTCTTGGTAAGAAATTTATCATTTTTTAGCATACATAGATATATATATATATGCTATTCAAATTGTTAAATCTTGGTGAATTAATGAAGTATATATATATTTATATATATATATATTGCTGTGTGTGTGTGTGTGTGTGTATGTATGACATTCAAATTGTTAGAATAAAATATTTATAATTTTTGAATAATTATAAAGGGTTTTCATTGATTCCTTTTAAAATAGTAATTGTTGAAATTGAAATTTATTCTGTAACATCAATCATATACTTAAACCTATATATATATAATATAATTATTTATGTGAGATTATTTTTTGTGTTTCAACGATTTTGCGAGGTCAGACAAACTTTCATTTTTTTTTTTTTGCTGTTTATACGTTGCGTTTGGTGTTATTGATGTTATTTGGGCTGAAATCGTCGTATATATATATATATATATATATATATATATATATATCCGTATATATATATGATATATAGATATACACATACCATCAATTTCACCGGGGCTGACACAACACACAAATTGATCTCAAAGTTCGGCACTTGACATATGTATGTCACTGTGTACTTTGTCTGCAAACATATTTTTGATTGTTGAATTTCATTTTATGGGATGTGCCCTTTTTCTTATGAATGTAACCATGTCAACGATATTTCTATATTTTTGACTGAATTTTTTTCCTCTATACTAAACATGTATATATGTGTGGTTTATAAAAATATATACTAAAACTAAAACTATGATAGGTAAAAATTGCGAATTTTTAAAGGACTTTTAACTGGAAAAACCGTTATTTTAAAGAATGTTATTTGCTTGTTTTTTTTCACACTGCCCAGTATATGGAACTATTATCAATTTGAGTTTATAATACTTATTATATTTTTTTTTTTGGTGGTAAAAATTTGCCATGCAGATTTTAATTTTTAATTATATGACGAAATATGGTAATAGCAGTTATCGTGC